AACAAGAGCGAAACTCCGTCCCAAAAAAAAAAAAAAAGAATACAGTAGCGCACAGTAAAAAACATAGTCCCTGCCTTTGTGAAACTTAGAAGAAGTAGTAAGAAAATAAATAAATAGGCTGGGTGCAGTGGCTCATGCCTATAATCCCAGCACTTTGGGAGGCTGAGGCAAGTGGATCACGAGGTCAGGAGTTCGAGACCATCCTGGCCAACATGGTGAAACCCCGTCTCTACTAAAAATACAAAAATTAGCCAGGCATGGTGGCAGATGCCTGTAATCCCAGCTACTCTCAAGGCTGAGGCAGGAGAATCGCTTGAACCCGGGAGGTGGAGGTTGCAGTGAGCCAAGATCACGGCACAGCACTCCAGCCTAGGTGACAGAGCGAGACTCCATCTCAAAAAAAAAAAAGAAAGAAATATATGTTATAGTGCCAGTTGATGGTAAGTATTGTGCAGAAAAATAAATAGACAAGCATCAAGATTGACAGGTGCTGCTGTTTTAGGTAAGGAGAAGGCCATTCAAGGTGACGTTTAAGCAGATCCCTGAAGAGTGGGGGCCATGAAACTGATCTTTGTTGAACAGTAAATCATGTCCCTGGTGAAGTCCCTGAAAGGTTCATACAAACAGACTGAAAAGTTTGTTTTGGGGTGGAAAAAACAGCTGGCTCCAGACCTACCTCTTCAGGAACAGTCAAAGACAGAAAACAATAGAACAATGTTTGCTGCGTTCTCAGGGAAAGAAAACATAAGCCAAGAATTGTGAGCCAGCCAAGGTATTCTTAAATTATAAAGGCAGCTGACATCTTCAAGCCCCACAAATTTAGGCAATGCAGCCTTTCGGAGCTTTCCTTTTAAAAATTGCTCAGTACAGAATCCAGCCAATCTAGAGATGAAGCAAAAAGAAGAAAAAGAGGGAGAAAGGCAGGCAGGAAGAATGAATGAGGGACTGGACAAACTGGTAAAAGGGCTGGAGGTAAACACTGAATTTAAAGACCCCCCCACAAAAAAAATATTTATTTATTTTGCATGGCTAAAGAAGCTGTATGTTCTTCATTTGGAATAGGTCATACAAATTTCCAAAAGGAAAAATATAGTAGAAGATAGAACTATACTATAAAAATACAGTAGAAGGTAGAACATGACCACGGTGCCTCATACCTGTAATCCCAGCACTTTGGGAGGCCGAGGCAGGCAGATCACTTGAGCCTAAGTATTTAAGACCAGCCTGGACAACATGATGAAACCCCCATCTCTACAAAAAAATACAAAAGTTAGCCAGGTGCAGTGGCATGCGCCTGTAGTCCCAGCTAGTTGAGAGGCTGAGGCAGGAGAATCGCTTGAGCCTGAGAGGCAGAGGTTGCAGTGAGCTGAGATCCTGCCATTGCACTCCAGCCTGGGTGACTGGGGTGAAACTGTCTCAAAAAAAAAAAAAAAAAAAGAAGAAGAAAAAGAAGATATTACGCCTGTAATCCAGCCTGGCCAACATGGGGAAACTCCATTTCTACTAAAAATACAAATATTAGTCAGGTATGGTGGTTCACACCTGTAGTCCCAGCTACTTGGGAGGCTGAGCAGGAGAATTGCTTGAACCTGGGAGGTTGCAGTGAGCCAAGATCATCCTCCTGCACTCCAGCCTGTGCAACAGAGCGAGACTCCATCTCAAAAATAAGAAGAAAAGGTAGAACATGAAAAATAAATCTCCTTTCCATTCTGGGCACCTCACTAGCAACCACTGCACCTATTTTGTGCCTCTCCTTCTAGAGATATTTTATGCACATAAAAGTAAATATTGTTTTTATTTTTGTACAAATGGCAGCAAACCATAAAAGCCATTCCACCCTGATTTTTCTTTTCACTTTACAGTATGCTTAGGATATTGTTTTGTATTACTACATGCGAAGCTACCTCATTCTTTTTAATGGCTCCATAATATTCTCAGATGGACCATAATTTGTTTAACCAACCCATTTAGGATGTTTCCAATCTTTTGCCATTACAGACTGTGCCGCAGTGAATATCCTTGTGTATACGTCATTTTGTACCTGTATAAAACTATCTAAAGAATAAATTCCTAGAAGTGGAATTGCTCATCAATGTGGATTTTAAATTGAGATATATATTGCCCGTTTGTCCTTCAAAACAGTTGTACCAATTTATAGTCCCACTGTGAAAATATGAAGACTGATACTTTTTGAACTTTGTTAGTCAAATCAGTGAAAACTTTTCTCACTATAGTTTTAATTAGTATTTCTCATTATGGGAGATGTTGAACATCTCTCTCATATGTTGAAAAGCCATTTCTATTTCCTTTTTAATTTATAGTAGATCTTGGATTTTATTTTTTCCTGTTTCCATTTTGACATTCTTTATGCTGGTGGGAAGAGTTATGCAAAAATTTGTTATAAGGAGTAAGATAAAAAATCTACCCTTTTTCCCCCTAGTTAAGCTATCTAGCTATTCCCAAATATTTTTCAATAATCCATCTTTTCCACACAGTTTTGCCCTGACAATAAAACATTACTTTTACATTTAATCCATTTAAATAAAGAACTGAAGTGAAATTATCAAAATGGTTAAAGGACAGATGTAAATATTATAAACATTTGCAAT